TGTTGACTGCAGATTTATCAGCACTAGGAGCTCCAACATTCTCAATTTCGTTTCCACCCATCTTAAGTTTACCAGTCATTACACTTGTACCGCTAAGAGTCAGATACGGTAGAAGGCTTAGCTTCAAGTACCCACGATTTACAAGGGAAATGTCTCTAGATGGGTTGCTATTACATGTGGGTGCATTTGTGAAATTAACAGTACCGGCAACATTTAAGGACCCCGTTCCATCTAACCGTAAGAACGTCCCTTCATTTAGATTAAACCAGCTTCTTGTAACAACAGACTGGGGAGTAGTTGGATCAGCAGCATTTATAATTTTATTTCCACCCATATCAATGTCCCCTACCATTGTAAATCCTGAACCCGAGTATACTCCACCTCTTGAAATCCTATCAACCACCCACTTCTTATTTACAAGGGAGGAGTCTCTGTCAGGGACAGCGTTGGAATAAATTTGGAAAGTATTTGTATTCATATTTCCAGTCATAGAGCCACCGTTTCTTTTAAGATAATTTGTGTCACTTAATATTCTAAAAGAATTTAAGGACGACGTCATAGTATTATTGTTAACAGCGTCACCTCCACTTTTCGGAATTGCAACATTTTTAATACGATTTGCACCCATGTCAAGTTCTCCTGACATCCTAAAACCAGTGGTAGTAGTAAATATTGACAGCTTACTCTCAACCCAACCTTTAGATACAGCTTCACTATTTATTCTAGGCTCAATAAGATCAAACAATCTCCAACCTCCCATGGACACATCTGCTTGCATAATTCCACCTTTTAATCTAAAGTTATTATCGACCACCCACTTCTTTGTGACAGCTGACTGGTCCTCGGAGGGATCCTTAAGATTCTTAATCTCATGGTCCCTCATATCGATATCCCCAGCAATATCAAGTCCAGTTACAGGTCTATTTAGCATTCCAACTACCCAATCCTTACTAACAGCAGACTTTCCAGTTGTAGGATCACCTAGAGCCTTTATCTCATTTGTTGACATATTGAGGTCATTTGTAAGGATAAGTCCAGGTAGACTTGCGTGTACATGTCTACGGCTACCCTCAACCCAGCTCTTACTAGCAGCATCACCTGGGTTAGTAGGATTATCAAGATTAGTTATTTTATTACCTCCCATGTCAATATCCCCAGTCATTGTAAACCCTGCAGGTTGGATTGTAAGGGCAGCCTGTTTAACTATCTCATCATCCACCCACTTTCTTGTGGTCGCAGAAGTATCATCTGTAGGTGCACCCAGACCTTTTACCTCATTACCATCCATCTCAATGTCGCCCTTCATGGTAAATCCGTCCTTATCAAACACACTACCACTTGATGGATCAACTTTATTTACTCCTTTGTTGTATCCTCTATAGAGAGCCATTTTATAGAATACACAATGTTTACAGGATAACTTTCATTAGAATGAATACAACTATAGCACCGATTCCAGCTCCAGTGATAGAGTTAACTCCTGAAGACTCATGGGTACTAACCATACTATGTTTCATGATAGGAACAACTTGAGTCTCGGCACTTGTAGAACCTTCCTGAGGCTTAACTCTTGTAGGACCTCCCGGAACCTTTTTATTTCCATCAATAGTATCAAGGTGGTGAACTGGTGTATTATCTTGATGCTGTTTCTTTCGGGGATTAGCCTTCTTAACCCCAACATAATTGAGTTCGGTATTAACTCCTATTTTCATATCCTTTGTTGCGTTTTTTAGAATATTGTTATACCCAGGTATAGGCTTACTTAGAATTATGAGACTTGACGGAATCAGAACAGTTCCAGGGGTGACGGCTGTGTTAAGTACAACATTTGTGTCTCTAATAGCAATTCTCATATTACCTAGAGTTACAACAGGATCAGCTTCAATAACGCAATCATTTACCAGTGCGCTGAACTTAACCTGGGTAGCAGATGACTTTCCATAGCTTCCAGTGATAGGTGATCTGGTAGCTGCCTGTGCACCTAACACAGAGTAAACGTAAGCTTCAATTGATTCCCCTAATAGAAGTAAGCCAGTTTTTGTAAGTCCAAAATACGGATCAGTCTGAGTACTAACAAACCTTAAATAATCAGACTTACTAACAAGTGCAACAGATACTCTTTCCTCATAGTGTACACGAATTCATTTTAGAAACCCATTAACAGTCATAACTGAAGAATTGGTTACATTTCTTACAGGATTGCTACCGTCACCCCTACCCTTTATCCAGTTACTTTTTTCCCAGTCCAGTCCATAATCGTATACAACATCATAATAATCACTTTTCTTTACCCACTTACCCTTAACAGGTATATGCTTTTTAATAGAATCCAGCATATCCATATAGGGAACTAATCTTTCAGGTTTGTACACATACTTCCTAATGCAGTAGTAAAGGTGAAAGTTCATTATACTTGTTATCACAGGGTAAGTATCATTACTAGGAGTAAGATGACCACTTGTGATTCTACATAGATATGTTGCGATATATGCGCCGCAAAGAGCTGCAAAGTAGGGTTTCTTATAGTCGAACACTGTACTTACACCATCAATCTTAATACTGTCTTCAATTTTAGGAAGCATATTTCCGCCGGCCTCCCCGGAAGTTACAAAGAAGCTTTTACCATCCACGTAAACCTTGAATGAATGTGCAGGAGTGTTCCACCCAATCCTAGGAAACCAGCTGAACCTATCAAATGTATCGTTGTTGTTTAACCTAGCTTTTACATCAGAACCCAACCTCCACTTTAGAGGCCAACCGTCAACTAAACCTAGAATCTCACTTTTTGTAACCTTAGTATCAGTCATAGGTATAAACTGTGCGGGGGTAATGATTTCCTTAGTACCTGTGAGATAATATGTAAACTCCTTATCCTTCTTAAAACCGTCATATCTAATGTCATATGAAGATATACCATCTAAATCAACAAACCATATAATAACTCCTATATCACCACTACTGGTAGTCATTGCTTCAAATTTAAACCTCTTCATATCTGCGTGAGGGTACTTTTTAATAAACCTAGCCCTCTCAGCGTCCTCGGCTTTTCTACCAGCAACTGGATCAACATGACTTTCACCATTTCTTTTTCCATACTTTTTTTCATATTCTTGGTAAGATCTGTACGGCGACTTCCCAACATCTCCTCCACCTAATCTCATTCTTAATAACCTAACGTATGTTATTAGGATGAAGTTCACAATTTTACTCCAGAGCTCACACACTATTATATCACTACAGAATTAAGTTTTAACAAGTAATTATAATTCAGTCTTTGTGAAGAGAGTTTCAGTTTTCTGGGAATATTTCAATATAAGAGAACCAACAACTATTCTCAAGGTTAAAACAGCTGGTGGTGAAACTGACGTGATTGTCAGTAAGGGCTACTATACATTTGACAGTATGAGAAAATTACTTGAGAGACACGGTGTTAAACTAACATATTTTCCAGAAACAGCAGGATGTCAGATAGAGGTAGTTAAACAGGATATCACAATAGAGACGCGATTACTGACTATGTTAGGTTTTAGTAGATTTAATAATCCTATGATCCTACTAAAAGGGAGGAGTTTGACAAGTGATAGCAAAGTTGACTTTAATAACGGTCTACGATGTGTAAATATACACTGCAACCTAGTTAGTAGCAGTTTTAACGTTAACTCTTGAGGAAGACCCAGCGATGTGATAACAAGTGTTACAGTTCCAACTGACAGACCATTATTAGGCTCAGTTGTTAGTTACATTGATGTTGAAAGCAGGATTTCGGTTATTAAGGGTTCTTTCTCAGAACTTGTATTCTACACGACTGATCAAGACGGGAAACCTATTGATATAGGTGAAGTGCTTATCGAGATGTACCTGGAGTAGTTAGCTTACATCTGTTAAAATAAGATGGATGATGATATTATCAAAGAACAGGGACTACGAGATATTTACTACAATCCTAAGACTGGATTCCAGACACCAGAGAAACTATATCTTAGAGCAATATCAGATGGACTTAAAGTAACCAGAAACCAGGTTAAGAAATGGATAAATGAGCAGGACACGTACACGAGGTACAGACAAGTGTTTAGGAAACATAAGTTCAGACAGACGTACGTTCAGACTTTAGGTGAACAGTTACAAATGGATTTAGTTGACATGACAAAATATGACGACAAGAATAAGGGATACCGATGGATTCTAACATCAATCGAAATACTAAGTAGGTACGCATTCACAGTACCAGTGTATAGGAAAAACGCGACATCAATGAAGGACGCAGTCAGTAACATTTTAGAGCAATTTAATAATCGTTTTGGTAAATACCCAAAATTCGCCCAGTTTGATCAAGGCACAGAGTTCTACAACAAAGAAGTAAAGTTATTGCTTAATAAACATAACATTGAATTTTTCTCTACTTACTCAGACAAAAAGGCCGCAGTTGTGGAAAGATTTAACAGAACACTGAAGGCTCTAATGTGGAAGTACTTTTACAGTGCCAGTACATATAAATGGTTAGACGTTCTTCAAGACTTAACCGATAATTACAACAGTTCAGTAAACAGATCAATTAAAACAACACCGGACAGTGTAAATGATTCCAACTGGACTGAAGTATGGAAGACACTTTTTAGTCACAATTTAGGCAAGCCGTCGGAACCAAAGTTTGCTGTCGGAGAAAGTGTCAGGATTTCAAAGTACAAATCAGTGTTCACAAAAGGATATGAAGCAAATTTTACAGAGGAGTTGTTCACTGTGACGGAAGTGTATCACGGTCATCCAAACACGTATTCAATAAAAGACAGTGCTGATGAACCAATAATTGGCAGATTCTATGAACAAGAACTGTATAGCGCTGAAGGAAGAGAACCTGATTTTAAGATAGAGAAAGTATTGAGGAGAAGAACATTAAAGGGTAAAAAGATGGCTCTCATTAAGTGGTTAGGTTACGATGACAAATTTAACAGTTGGATACCAGCTGGAGACATCAAGTCCCTAACATAAGTTAAGGTATTATGGAGGACTATGATGACATTGAGTTAGAGGAGACAGAAAAAACTTATCCTCAATATGACGACCTAAATTATGATGACCTAACGACAGCTTTTAGTAGGTTAGATACAAGGGTGAAGGGAGAGGCTATGTATGGTGATGACCCTTTAGTAATAACTAATCTTAAAAGTGAACTGGACTATGTAAAGGATCTCATGGAGAGACGTGCAATAGAAGAAACAACTTTCACCGAAGGAAATGATGGTACAGTGAACATTTCAGGTCCATCAGGAAGCACAACTGTCCCAGAAGTCAACTTTGTGGAAGATCCAAACAATGTACTTCCAGATGTGCTAGATGCATTCAACGAATCATTTGACGCTGACTGGGATGAAATAGAAGCCCGCCTAGAGAAACTGAAAAAGTTCTCAGAAGACCGACTTACAGCAAATAAAAAGAAAGATTTCGAAAACCAAGTAGAGCGTGTTCAAGCTGTCACAAGAGTTATCAAGGGTAAGGAGGGACTAGTACTAGACCCAAAGAATAAATATGTCAGGGAACTCATAAAACGATCATCTGTAAGAACACTTAAGGATGGTACAGAGGTGTTGGTATTTAGAAGTGAACAAGGTATTGACAAAAGTGGCACACAAATAATGAAACGTGGTAAGACCAAGAATCTAGTGTACTCAAAGGACTCACCTGCCCTGAGAGAATATAAGAACCTCCTAAAGAAAATAAAAGAGGTAGCTACAGATCCCGACAATATAATTAGAAGTGATGAATCACTTTATGAGGATACCAGAGAAGAGCCGCAATTTGATTACAGTGATGAGGAATACGCTGACCGTGAGAACATTGAGTTAATGGATATAAGCGCAAAACTAGGAGACCTTCCAGGGCTAACAATGCAAGAAAATAATGAACTGAGAGGTGTTCTTAACCCACCTGATGGATCAAGTATAGAAGGCAGAACAGGTCCCAATGGAGCGTTACAAATTCAGGCTGACTACTTTAATGAAGCTATTGGTGAAACCGTGGAACGCGCCACATCTGCGGAAGGTACAACTGAGTATAATTCCCTCCTAGAAAGAATTGACAGTTTGAAGGAAGCCAGGGATAGGACACTAGAACAGAGAACTGTAGAGGAAGCAAGAGAGGCACAGTTGGAAGATATTTCTAGATTACGCAGATTTATAGA